TCTATCGATTCTTCTCGCTCATCGTCTCCAGTGCAGCGAAGTCAAAGTAGCAAGACCTCTGGCAGGAGAGATCCAAAGCTGAACGCCAGGTTCGCTTTGTGTCAGAAACTTTTGGACGAGATCATGATTCACGAAGATGGCTGGCCCTTTTTGGAACCTGTGGATCTTGCAGAGGTAATAATTGGCTAAAAGTCCACCTCTGTGACACCCTCTCTTGCCATTCTTTCCTGGTCCTTTTATTACGCTGCCAAGGCAGTTTGTACCTTTGAGTCTGTATTGAAAAGTGTCATCAAATGTTACCTTGTGAATCAGAGCTAATGTCCAGTTGTTTTCTTTGTGATGTCACTGCAGCTGTCTGTCATTGTTCTTGTTTGGTTGGCTGCATAGTTTTTTTCAAATTTGCACAGCCTCTTTCGTTCTCTTTTAGTGTGTATGCTGTAAAAAAACCCATACAGTAAACACCCACATTAAAAACAGCAAATTAAAGAACTTCCAGACTGAAATTTGGTTTGATAAGTACCATATCACTTCCCACGAGTCTCCTTTTGCTCGCTGGTAGAGCATCTGGTTTCTATCATTGCTGCAGCATAAAGTCACATATGGACGTTCCAGTCCAAGCAGTATGCAGGATGTTTCTTCACATGAACCTAGTTTAGTGGCCTTAATAGCTTCCCCGAATCCCCTGTAGCTCAGTGGTAGAGCATCTGCACTAGTAACCAGAAGGTCATAGGTTCGACTCTTGTTGGGAGAACTCAGATTTTCCTTTCGAGTTGTCTGTGCCATTGACTTAAAAAATCATCTTTCTCAAGTGTCACTGATATATACAAGAACCACTCTGTATAATTCTTTGCTCCTGTTTCAACATGTTGCCAATAACCACGGTTGAAGAAGAAGAAGAAGAATACTTTATTTATCCACGGTTGTCTCATCAGGCATATCTATAATAATTAATTAAAATTTAAAATTTAAAATTACAACTAATTTTATATATTACTACTTTACTTATTTACAAAAATTACTAATCTAAAAACTATAACTAATTGTAGTAAAATGACCCGACTACCGCAGCCCGGCTTTGAAGCTTTCTAGTGTTTTTGCTTGCCGTAACCCAACTGGCAGACTATTCCAAAGCACCGCACCAGTACAGCTAAAGCTATTTTTCAAGTAGTTTGTTTCTTTTTTGTGGGTGTTTACTGTATCTAACGACCTGTTTACATGGAGGTGGGGGACCCCAGGTGGCTAAGGTAAACCGCTTAGGTGGGGTAATCCCTCATATGGCCTGCCCTCCTATCACGTAAACGTGATCAAATTAAAATGAGAGATTATAATTATGGACAGGTGGGTTACCCACCTAAGCGGTTTACCTTACCTACCTCGGGTCCCCCCACGTTCATGTAAACAGGACCGAAGTTGATCAATATGTCGACTCTCATACCACCGTCATCTTCTATCTTTTCCAGAACCCTGAGTACCTTCATTTCGTACAAAGACCCATTGATTTGGGAACCATCAAGAAAAACCTTGCTGACAAGGCGTATGAATCGGTGGAAGATTTCGCCGCAGATGTGCGGCAAGTGTTTATCAACTGCTCTGAATACTGTCGGCCACGAGGCAAAGAGGCGCGAGCTGGGGTGCGGCTGTCTGCCTTCTTTGAGACGCGATATTCCGACTTGGGTCTTGACGCTACTGAGGGGCGCTCAACCCGGAGCCGGCGGACATGATTCTGGTGACGTTTGGGCGAAGTAACAAAGCGGGATAGCCCTCCTGTAGCCCGGATGTGACTACAACACCATCAAAAAGAGATATACCGCCCCATGTATGACCACGCCCTCATGTTGACATGTATGAGCGAGGAATTCGTGGAACTGCTTTGCTAATTGGAAAGCCAGGAAAAAATTTTCAACGTTTCTTTTGTTAAATATAAATTTCAAATTCGAGCGATTTTCTTGAGATGCACTCCAGCACATTTAAAATCATTTCAAGGAGGAGAGAGAAGGTGGAAATTCGTCTTAATTATTGGAATCCCTACGTAATCAGTTCACAATAAGCACATCATTCGTGTCAGAACAAAGGTTGAATAATGTTACAGGTACAGCTGTTCTTAGTTTAGTTTGTAAATTATTATGGAAGACCGTTCATACAAATAGAAAATTTTCGGTGCGGGATACTTTACTGCTTTTGTAGTCTTGGAGTGTTTTTGAGAGTCGAGATGACCTGAACAGAAAGTTATTCATGAAGTCTGCTTTATTGCAGACTGACTAATGTTTCCCTGGGCCGAGTTCCTCGAAAGATGGTTAAGTTTAACCCAGGATTAAGCCAAATTTTAAGGAAGGTTTTCTTGACTAAGAACACGTGACTCGAGGTTACAAAGTACCGTTGTGCCTTTACTTCGCAAAAAAGAAATGATAACATAAAATATTGCTCTAAGTAATGCATAGGAAGGTAAAAATACAAAAAGTGAACCAAAATTTTAATCTTTGATTAGCGCCAATCAGCCTTTCAGGAACAGGTTGGGACCTTTTAGGGGCACGCTGTCGCTTCTTCTTTTCTCCGTTTCGATTTTGTTCATCAATGCAAATAACTTTTCTTTCTTGAAAGGGATTACATCCAGCTAAGTCACTATACGTGATAAATCTTGTAAATAGCAATGTTACAATTAAACTAGTTAAACTTTTTATATGGTTTGGTT